AATATAATATAGATAGATAGATAGATAGATAGATAGATAGATAGATAGATAGATAGATAGATAGATAGATAGATAGATAGATAGATAGATAAACAGACAGATAGATAAACAGACAGACAGATAAACAGACAGATAGATATATACCTGTGGTTTCTCAGCATCTCCACCTCCGTCTGCAGACTCTCGATCTTGTCTCCGAACTCCTGCTTGAAAAGCCGGTTGGCCTCCAGGGCCAGCGCCCGCTCGCCCTCCGCCTGCTTGCATCTGGTTTGGGTTCAGCGGGTTACAACAAACTCATGGCAAAAAAGGGAAAACGAAACGCGATGAGAGCCGAACAGGGTTAGGACGAGATGAGGAACAACAGAAGATAAACAAAGATGAAAGGAAATCAACACAAATAAAAAACACAAACCAAAATAATAAAGATTCCAGTGAGGGAACTGTAAAGAAGATGAGGCACGCTGGGTTTTGTTTAGGTTTTTTTTCAATTTTGCTGGTCCTACTTCCTGTTTTTCCTACTTCCTGTTTTCCTCCTTTGACTTTGCTTAAACAAAGATGAGAGGAAAATAAGAAATAACAAACCAGAATAATAATCCAGTGAGGGATCTTTAAAGAAGATGAGGCAGGCTTGGTTTTGTTTAGGTTTTTTTTAAATTTTGCCGGTCCTACTTCCTGTTTTCCTACTTCCTGTTTTTCCTACTTTATGTTTTCCTACTTCATGTTTTCCTCCTTTGACTTTGCTTAAACAAAGATCAGAGGAAATCAACACAAATAAAAATAACAAACCAAAATAATAAATAATAATCCAGTGAGGGAAGCGTAAAGAAGATGAGGCAGGTTGGGTTTTGTTTAGGTTTTTTTTCAATTTTGCCAGTCCTACTTCCTGTTTTCCTACTTCCTGTTTTCCTACTTCCTGTTTTTCTACTTCCTGTTTTCTTACTTCATGTTTTCCTCCTTTGACTTTGCTTAAACAAAGATGAGAGGAAATCAACACAAATAAAAATAACAAACCAAAATAATAAATAATCCAGTGAGGGAACTGTAAAGAAGATGAGGCAGGCTGGGTTT